TCTGTGACTAACATCCCTGGGCCATTTTTGATATAAAACAGCTATGAACCCAAAGGGATTTTCAAAGGATATACGGTTTCACATGTACAATGCATTTTCATGAGTTTCCTCTGTAATCAAAATGAGTGCTAGTAATATTCACAGATTTCACGGGTATCATCTTAATATTAAATACAGCTGCAAAATAATTTTGAAATAAGTTTCCCACATTTTTTTCTTATGGAAAATTCCAGATAGTTTAAGCAGAATATGTTTTAATTTGGCTTTCTGTAAACACTGTTAAAGTTTTAAATCCAAGGCTTTGTGATTTCTGCATGTTCAAAGAATATTAGTATTATCATTTAGTGGATGCCTTTATTCATGGTGACTTACTTCTAGATTTGAAACTATCAACAAAATCAATGATGTAAGCATCTACTGTAGCTCCAAGCAAAGGTCAGCCTTTGTGATCCAGAAGTCCCAAGTTCAAAATATGGTCATGTCATTAGACAGCTGTAACACGGATTCCCCTAGCAGTAGCCCACCACTGCCTGAGCAAAACCTAGTATAGGGGTGAGTAAGGCAGGAAAAAGTAGCCCTGATCCTGGAGTGTCACATTCATTTCTTGCTTTAATTTCCCTCTCAGAACTTAAGTGAACAGAATGAAAATTAATCTGTTTCTTAATCATCTGCAAATTGAAAGGTGCCTCTAAAACTTACATTAATGCCTTCTTGCCCAGCTGTTCCCTTATAAAAAAGATTTTGTAAAATCGTGTACTGTAACTTCAAGATCATTTAACGGTTATATGACACTTTACAGGAGGCTGTGATTGAAATGGAAACTGTTAGGTGAAGGTTCAAGGGGAGAAGCTGGGGGTGCTTTGCTCCTTCCTCTATCATTCAGTTTTCTCTTTCCTATTTAAACCTTAACCATGCTAACGCACACATCTAAAGTTTTTAATTCCCTCCTCCTCTTCTTTCTTTTGTGTTGCTTTTGCATCCAGGTTCCCTCTGGGGCGTCAGTGAAGATCACTTCCCCAACCTCAGGATGGCAGCGCCACCTTGATCCCTTCTGGGGAGGTTGAGGTACCGTGAGGCAGAGGCCACTTTATTTTTGGCAGCTCTAACTTAATAATTTTCCTTCCCTCGGTCCCCTGAGGGCCTAGCCCATTTGCGAGGCACCGCCTCAAAAGCGACTCTCAGCGAGTCGGGGGATTTCTTTTGCTTCCTTCTTAAGCAGCTTTCTCTGCATTCTCAACCCCTCGGGCAGCACCTCTCAAAGTGATTCCTCCAGTCAGGGGTTCTTTCTCTTTCCCCTTTACGGATTTGTTCCCAGTTGCGAGGCAGTGCCTCTCACGCGACACTCAGCGAGTCAATGGGCTAACTCCTCCTTTATGTCCCCTGAGGGCATAGCCTGGTCATGAGGCAACACCTCTCAAGCGACACTCAGCGAGTCAAGGGGTTATCTCCTCCTTTCTGTCCCCCGAGGGCATAGCTTGGTCGTGAGGAGGCGCCTCTCAAGCGACACTCAGCTAGTCAGGGGTGTTTATGTTTTCATGCTGTCGAGTCAGCCAACGCAAACGGACCACTTAGGTTCCCCGTGCAGTCTGGGTGCAACTTCTCTCTACTTTACTATCCCTTGCTTCTCCCCTTGAAACAACGACAGAAGTCTTACAAAGTTTGTGATATGCCTGGATTCTACTTTCTAACTGACACGGAACAATCGTAATATGAAAGCTTTGTTTTTCTTAAACTTGATTTCAGTGGATCATGTTTGCATTGAGGTAAAAAAACTGGCTGAATTGCATTCCCCTGTTAAATTATAAATGATGCATTAGCTTTTCTGCAAAGACATTTGGTATTTCATACAGTGCATGTTGTTGTTAATAATTTCTGAATGAAAAAAATTGATATAATATTAAATAGTATATAAATATTAAATAACATCTTCTTTAAATGCATTTTTGTAGCATATGCAATCAACATAAGAATAAACTAAAAGATAGCAGACATTTTCTGGGTTTCTTTGATATTTTGCAGCAGTGTAAAATGACAAACTGATAGTTTGGTGTGCTTGATTAAGCATTTCTGACAAATAACATGTGTCAGTGAAGTATATTTTGCAATCAAATGAGTGGAAGGTTACATTAATGCTTTGAAGAAATTGTGAGCCCTAACCCTAACACTAACCTGGCACAAACCCATAGCAAAGGGTAGGATTCCT